TTTCTTTAATCTCCTTTAAATACAAAGAAAATGAGAGTTGCTTTTGACTTGCAGCAATTCTTATTTATTAATAATGTACTACATGTACTTGTTTTGTGAAAACCACAATAATCAAACAAAAATCATACAATATATAGTTAACTTTCTTATTGTAAATGAAAATGAATGTATGTATCAAATATGTGTATATTTTAGTGATTTGTATGCTTAATAGATGTAAATAATGAAAGTTGTAATGCAAAAATACTTGTTGCTGCGATCAAAATGTTTATAATGCACTATTTGGTTTTGTAAAGTTCATTACAATCAAACAGAAATCACACAATATATAATTTACTTCTTATTGTAAATGAAACTGAATGTATGTATCAAATAAGTGTATATTGTAGTGATTTGTATTTAAAATATAGTAATAATGAGATTTAATCATTCATCCAGTAAATCTGTTAATCAAATGAAGTACAACTTGTTGAGAGGCGGAGTTTCACTTGACCAACAGTAACACAATTGATTTTAAATTCATTTAACAGTACCCTATATCAAAATATTTACCGATTTAATATGGTGAGCTGCTGTTCCCAGAGTTCATCTTTCTATGTGTTGAAGCCAGGACCATACTTTGCCAATAATTAAAACAATTAAAGAATCCTTAACTATATATTTGTCGTTTGGTCTTCTTTTTGATAATGTCAGTTGCTATGCAAAAATGCTTGTTGCTATGGTCAAAATGTTGTATTTGGAAAATCACTAAAATTAAATGGAAATTACACAATATATAGTTAACTTTCTGGATGTAAATGAAAATGAATGTATGTATCAAATATGTGTATATTGTAGTGATTTGTATGTAAAATAGCCGTAAATAATGTCAGTTTCTATGCAAAGATGCTTGTTGCTATGGTCAAAATCATTATATTTTTCTTTTATCTCTGAATAAATAAAAAGAAACTGTTAGTCTAAGATAACAAATATTACAGCTGTAATAGGAACATGAAATTTTGAGTTCAAAATGTTAATTTTAACACAAAATGTTGTCTTTTTAAACCAGAGCTGAATATGTTACTATGGCCCGTTGCTATGGCCTGTTGCTAAGGACAAACACAAAAAAACATTTTAAGTTTTACAGAATTTGTTAGGTCTTTACTTGCACATTCCATTGGTATAAGTATAAAGGGAATAATGCATGGGGCCAAAAACACCCCTTAGTGCATATAGTCCTTTCTGGTTGAAGCGATTAAAAAAACAATCCTAGCATCTTGATTCTCGCTACTGATATTTTTCAAACCCGATAATGTAAAACTTAAAAGATAAAAGTGGCATATACATATGTACCTACGCGATAGTCATTATAGTTTTCTAAAAAACTTGAAATGAAATGATCAGCAAAATGAAATTTGTTATAGCCACGTTAAGTTTTCAAAATTTCTTATTGACTAATTGCTTGCTGCATGATGCCTGGATACACATTACCTTCAGCAGCCAAAGCAGTGAATGCCAAAATAGCAATACCATAGCCATTAAATATTTTTGGCTCATTACGGGTCAGTTATCTTGTTCTTTATTTACGACATATTTAAGTCACAATAACAACACAAAAACATATTTCAAGCGACATTAAGGATGCCTGTTCCACTGCACTGTGTTGTTCGTCATTGCAGTAATCTGTCCTTAATTTCCTTTTGGGTAAAGACACTTTCAATGACAAGGTAGCTTGGTCTTTTTGAGCGCTAAGCTACCTGGTCATTGGAAGTGTCTTTACCCATTTTAGTCTTTTGAGCGCAGGGGCTTATATGACCATAACTGTTAATAGGACGCTAAACCCTATTAAACCAAACCAAACTTTTTGAGCGCCAGTATAACACTTTAAGGTTCAGGGTTAGAATCCCAGCCGAGTTTCGCTCATTTTGTAACTCAAAACACTGTTGTTTATTATATTTTATTTATTTCATCTTTATCATTTTGTTTTCATAAAAGTCCCGTCAATTACGGTTTTCTATCCAGAACTGAATTAACAAAGCTAAAGTCTTGACGGAAAAACAGTTTCCAATGTGTAGATACAGTTTTTGGCAGTGTTTAAGAGGCTTTCATGTGTGTTCCACGTCAACAACAAGAGGCCCAATGGGCCTGCATCGCTCACCTGGTTTTAAACTCACACTTGTAACCTTAAAAGTGATCTAAAATAAAGCTACAGGCAAAATATCAGTTTTTATGATTAAAATTCGTTCAAAAGACCCTGTTATTTTTTTTTTAAACATTTCACCCCTGCGATTGAAAGTCGAACAAAGTCATTATGTTGAACACATTGTATAGCCTTTCATCTCAGGATGCAACTTGCAAAGTATAAACATCCTGGGACCCATGGTTATTCATAAGAGGTTGTTTAAAGATTTTAAACAAATTTGACCCCTGTGACCTTGAATATAAGTCAAAGTCATTCACTTTAACAAACATAGTAGTCCTTGATCCCAGCATATGCTACTAACTAAATATCAACATCCTGAGCCTTTTGG